CAAATAGGGGCCCATCTCCCTTTACCAGGGCACCACTAGGTTCCCCATCCCCCCTTAAAAAAAAACCCCAGGCCCATTCCCCCTTTTAAAAAAACACCCAAATAAGGGAATTTTTCCATAAAAAAGACACAACTAGGTTATCTCCCCTTTTAAAACCCGACACCACTTTGGTCCCACTCCCTATAAAAAAAAACACCAAAATAAAGGTTTTAAACTTCCCCCATAACCCGGGCACCACTAGGTATAATTTCCCCTTACCAGACAAAACCCCAGGGGGTCCCATCCCCCCCCTAACCAGACCCAAATAGGTTATCTCCCTATACCCCGACCCACAGGTAATCTCCCCCCTTTAAACCCGCACCACTACGATATCTTACCAAAAACCCGACCCCCACTAGGTCTATTTCCCTATAACCCAAAACCCCTAGGTAAATCCCCCCTATTAAACCAAAAACCCCAAATAGGTTTTAAAATTCCCCAAAACCAGGGAAAACCCCTTTGGTTATCTCCCTATAAAACCCAAAACCCCCAGGGAAAAAAATCTCCCTTAATTTTCCCGAAAACCACTAGGTTATCTCCCTTAAAACCCGGGGGAAACCCCTAGGTTTTATCACCCCTTTTTACCAGGGCACCCCTAAAGGGATATCTCCCTATTTTTCCCGAAACCAAGGGTTTTAAAACCCCCTTTTACCCGGGCCCCACTAGGGCCCACTCCCTATACCAGACACCATAGGTCTATCTCCCTTTTTACCCAAAACACCACTTTGGTATTCTCCCCTTAAAACCAGACACCATAGGTCTATCTCCCTAACCCAGACAAACCCCTAGGGCTAAACCCCCCTTTTACCAGAAAAACCACAGGGATATCTCCCCCTTTTACCAGACCCAAATAGATAAACTTTCCCAAACCCCGACACCACTAGGTTTTAAACTCCCTATTTCCAGACCCACTAGGTTAACCCCCCTATAACCAAGGGCAAAACCCCCTAGGTTTTTTATCTCCCTTAAAACCAGAAAACCACTAGGGATATCTCCCTATAAAACCCCGACCCCCATAGGTCCCTCTCCCATAAACCCGAAAACCACTAGGTTTTTTCCCCCATAACCAGACACCCCTGGGGGAAAATCCCCCCATTTCCAGACACCCCCTAGGTATATCCCCCTTTTACCCGAAAACCCCTGGGATATCCCCCTATCCAGACAAACCCCTGGTTTATATCCCCCCCCATACCAGGGCCCACTTTGGTTTTTTCCCCCCCTATAAACCCCAAAAACCACTTTGGTCCCATCCCCCCATTTCTTTTAAACCCGACCCCCATAAAGGGAAATTCCCTATACCAGACACACAGGTATATCTCCTATAAACCCGACCCCATAGGGCTATTTCTCCCCAAACAAGAAACCACTAGGGCTATCTCCCCCAAAAAAGACCCCACTAGGTCCCATCTCCCCTTAAAACCAACACCACTTTTGGGTTTTATCTCCCTATACCAGACACCACTAGGTATATCTCCCTATACCAGACACCACTCTTTATCCCCCCTAAACCAAACCCCTAGGTTTTATCTCCCTATAAACCCGGGCACCAAGGTCCCAAATTCCCCCATTTCCAGAAAACCAAATAGGTTTTATCTCCCTATACCCCTTTCTAGGGCACCACTAGGTTTTATTCCTAAAAACAGGGCAAACCCCTAAGGGGCTTCCCCCCTTAAAAACCAGACAAACCCCTTTGGGTCCCCATCTTTCCCCAAAACCAGACCCACTAGGTAAAAATTTTCCCCCCTAAACCAAAAACACCCCCTTTGGTTACCCCCCTATACCAGAAAAACCACTAGGTTTTACCCCCCCAAACCTATACCAGAAACCACCCAGGCTATCTCCCATAAAAACCGGGGGCCCCCAAGGGTCTATTTCCCTATAAACCAGACACCAAATAGGTCTATCCCCCCTATAAAAAAAAACCAAAGGAAAACCACTAGGGGCCCATCTCCCTATAAAACCCCGACAAAACCCCTAAGGGTTTTATTCCCCTTTGCCCGGAAAACCCCTAGGATATCTCCCTTTTAAACCGAAACCACTAGGTTCCCCATTTTCCCCTTTCCCGAAAACCACTAGGTCCCCATCTCCCTATACCAGGGCACCATAGGGATATTCCCCCCCCTATACCCGACAACCCCCTACATAATTTATCCCCCTATACCGGAAAAAACCTAGGTTATCCCCCCTATTCCCAAAAACCCCCACTATTTTATCTCCCCCCCCCCCCCCCCCAAAACCAACACATAGGTCCCATTCCCTAACCAAAAAACCCCCACTGGGATATCTCCCTTAACCAGAACCACTAGGTTTTATCCCCCCCATACCAAAACCCCAAATAGGTTTTATTTTCCCTACCCAAAAACCCACTAGGGCTATCCCCCCCCATAAAACCCATAAAACCCAAAACACCACAGGTTCCCCTTCCCCCCTTTTAACCAGGGCACCCCCTAGGTTTTTTATCTCCCCCTCTCCCAAACCAAAAAACCCCCTAGGGGATAAACTCCCTTTAAACCGGAAAACCACTAGGGGCCCCATCTCCCTATAAACCGACACCAAATAGGGCTATCTTCCCCCTTTCCAGACACCACTAGGTCCCATTTTACCTATACCAAAACACCACTAGGATATCTTCCCCCATACCTAGACAACCCCTAGGTTTTATCTCCCTATACCAACACCCCTAGGTCTACCCCCCTTTTAAACCCGCCCAAACCCCTATGGTTCCCCATCTTCCCCCCCAATTTCCCGCACCCCCCAGGTCCCCATTCCCCCTTTTTACCAGACAAATAAGGTTTTATCTCCCCCCTCCCCAGGGCCCCCCACTGGTCTATTCCCTTTTTTAACCCCCTAAAACAGGGCACCAATAGGGGGTTAAAATTTCCCCCATTAAAACCTTTTATACAGGACACCCAACCCAAGCCCCCCATCCCCCCTTAAACCAGACACCCACTAGGTTTATTTCCCCATACCAGCCCCTAGGGGAAAAAAATTTTCCCTATACCAGACACCACTGGTCTTTTCCCCCCTATAAACCCGACACCAAGGTCTATCCTCCCCTTTAATTTCCAGACCCCATAGGTTATTTTTAAAAAAACCCCCTTTTTATATCCCCCTTCCCAAAAAAAATGGTATATTCCTTTCCCAAACCCTAAATTCCCGACACCAAAAGGTTATCTCCCCCCTTTTCCCAGACACCACCCTAGGGATAATCTTTCCCTTTTTACCAGACCCCTTTGGTTTTTAAACTCCCCCTTTTACCAGGAAAACCCTTTGGTTTTTATCCCCCCCTATAACCGAACCCAACACTAGGTTTATCTCCCTTTTTTACCATTTAAAAAACAACTAGGTCCTACTTCCCCCCATAACCTATATTTCAGACCCAACTAGGTTTTTATTTTCCCTATAACCCAAAAAAACCCGGGCACCCCTACTTTCCCTTCCCCCCTTTTGGGCCTTTTTTCTCCCTTTTACCCAGGAAACCCCCACCCGGTTTTTCCCCCCCTTTTTGAAACCCCAAGACCCCCCCCCCCTAGGGTAAAATTTCCCCCCAAAAAACCCAGAAACCCCCAAAAGCAATGGTTTTTTCTTCCCTTAAAACCTTCCCCCTACCCCCAAAAAACCCCCACCCCTAGGTTTTCCTTTTCCCTTTACCAAAACAAAAACAGGGTTTTATCTCCCCCCATTTCCCCGACCAAACAAACCTTTTTTTGGTCTTTCCCCTTTGTTTCCCAAGGGCAACCAAAAAAGGGTTTTTTTCCTTTTAAAACCCGAAACCCCTAATTTTTTTTTCCCGGCCAGGCCCCCCCAAAACCCGAAAGAACCATTTTTCGGAAAAAACCCTATATTCCTTTTAAAAAGTGAACCCAAATTTTGTTGGTTTTTTGGTTTTAAATTTGAGTTGATCAAAAATGTTAAATTGAAGGCCCGGTTCCCCCAAATAAGAACCCCTTCCTTGGGGGGTTATTTCCCCGGGTTTTAAAAGTAGATTTTATTTTGGGAGGGTGGGGGGTTCCCCCGGTCTATAAGTAGTAATCATATGTAGTGGGGATTTGGGCCCGGGGCTATATAGTAGTAATCCCTATGTAGTGGTGGGTGGTCCTGGTCTATAAAAGAGTAGATCATTGTAGTGGTATGGTCCCACCCCCCTATGGGTCTATATAGTAGTAGATCATATGTAGTGGTGATGGTCCCTGGTCTATATAGTAGTAGATCATATGTAGTGGTGATGGTCCCTGGTCTATATAGTAGTAGATCATATGTAGTGGTTGATGGGTCCCTGGTCTATATAGTAGTAGATCATATGTAGTGGTGATGGTCCCTGGTCTATAGTAGTAGATCATATGTAGTGGTGATGGTCCCTGGTCTATATAGTAGTAGATCATATGTAGTGGTGATGGTCCCTGGTCTATATAGTAGTAGATCATATGTAGTGGTGATGGTCCCTGGTCTATATAGTAGTAGATCATATGTAGTGGTGATGGTCCCTGGTCTATATAGTAGTAGATCATATGTAGTGGTGATGGTTCCTGGTCTATATAGTAGTAGATCATATGTAGTGGTGATGGTCCATGGTCCATAGTAGTAGATCTATGTAGTTGGTGATGGTCCCTGGTCTATATAGTAGTAGATCATATGTAGTGGTGATGGTCCCTGGTCTATATAGTAGTAGATCATATGTAGTGGTGATGGTCCCTGGTCTATATAGTAGTAGATCATATGTAGTGGTGATGGTTCCTGGTCTAAATAGTGCACTACATTGGTTTTATTTGTATACTTTTTTTATTTAACTCAGTATTTATTAAAATATTTAACCTTTATTTAACCCAGTAAGTTGACTGAGAACACATTCTCATTTACAACAACGATCTGGGGAATCGTTACGGGGAGAGGAGGGGGAGGAAGACAGTCGGTGATGTAGACAGAGCAGCAGGAAACAGTCAATAAGGACAGGAGAGCACCACTTTCAATTTGGTTTTGTTTTATTTCACACGTTACGTCAAAATAGACGCTCATAACGGGGGAGGTTTCGGGAGGGAGGGATGAAAGGGTTGAAGATAGAAAACATAAAAAGTGGAATTTCGTCTTCTTCTGCCCCCTGACCCCAAGAGGAGGGGAGACAGTCAGCCGTGATGGAGGGATGAGATGGAGGAGGATGGAGGGTTTAGTTGATCTTGGGGTGACGGTAATCCTTGCCGGCGAACTTGGCCTTGTCTCCAAGCTCCTCTTCAATCCTGGAGGACATAGAAGTCAGGGGTCAGAGGTCAGGATCCTTCGTCTTTGCAATATAAAACGTGGTCCGGCAGTTTGTATTGAATAAATCTGGTATATGGCTACACTACAGTATTAACTCAGTATAAAGTCAGTCAGGGTGCAGTAGCAGGTGTATTCCTGTAGGGGTCAGTCTAACATAAGGCTACAGTTTATTAACTGAGTCAGGGTGCAGTAGCTGGTGTATTCCTGTAGGGGTCAGTGTATTATAAGGCTATAGTATTAACTAGGGTGCAGTAGCTGGTGTATTCCTGTAGGGGTCAGTCTAACATAAGGCTACAGTATATTAACTGAGTCAGGGTGCAGTAGCTGGTGTATTCCTGTAGGGGTCAGTCTAACATAAGGCTACAGTATATTAACTGAGTCAGGGTGCAGTAGCTGGTGTATTCCTGTAGGGATCATTGTATTATAAGGCTATAGTATTAACTAGGGTGCAGTAGATGGTGTATTCCTGTAGGGGGCAGTGTATTATAAGGCTATAGTATTAACTAGGGTGCAGTAGATGGTGTATTCCTGTAGGGGTCATTGTATTATAAGGCTATAGTATTAACTAGGGTGCAGTAGATGGTGTATTCCTGTAGGGGGCAGTGTATTATAAGGCTATAGTATTAACTAGGGTGCAGTAGATGGTGTATTCCTGTAGGGGTCATTGTATTATAAGGCTATAGTATTAACTAGGGTGCAGTAGATGGTGTATTCCTGTAGGGGTCATTGTATTATAAGGCTATAGTATTAACTAGGGTGCAGTAGATGGTGTATTCCTGTAGGGGTCATTGTATTATAAGGCTATAGTATTAACTAGGGTGCAGTAGATGGTGTATTCCTGTAGGGGGCAGTGTATTATAAGGCTATAGTATTAACTAGGGTGCAGTAGCAGGTGTATTCCTGTAGGGATCATTGTATTATAAGGCTATAGTATTAACTAGGGTGCAGTGGCAGGTGTATTCCTGTAGGGGTCAGTGTAACTGACCTCATCAGCTGGTTGTATTTGGCCAGACGTTCTGATCTACAGGGGGCACCAGTCTTGATCTGTCCAGTGCAGAGTCCGACCACCAGGTCAGCGATGAAGGTGTCCTCTGTCTCTCCTGAACGATGAGACACCATCACACCCCATCCGTTAGACTGGGCCAGCTTACACCTGTAATACACAGAGTATAGACACCATCACACCCCATCCGTTAGACTGGGCCAGCTTACACCTGTAATAATAATACAAAATAATGAATTAATCTTCTAAAGCACTTTTCATAACGGAAAGAAATCTCAACGCAAAAAACTAAGAACTAATACTATATCATGAGAAGCCTAGTCGCTACTACACCTGTTACACATAGGGCGGCAGGTAGCTTAGTGGGTAAGAGCGTTGTGCCAGTAACCGAAAGGTCGCTGGTTCTAATCCCCGAGCCGACTAGGGGAAAATCTGTCGATGTGCCCTTGAGCAAGGCACTTAACCCTAATTGCTCCTGTAAGTCGCTCTGGATAAGAGCGTCTGTTAAATGACCCAAAAAAAACACATAAGGGATGGTCAGTTTGGCCCTGTAATATAGTCCCTGTGGTGCAGCTCCACCAGGGGGCCCTGTAATATAGTCCAGCTCCACCAGGGGCCCCTGTAATATAGTCCCTGTGGTGCAGCTCCACCAGGGGGCCCTGTAATATAGTCCAGCTCCACCAGGGGGCCCTGTAATATAGTCCCTGTGGTGCAGCTTGACCAGGGGGCCCTGTAATATAGTCCAGCTCCACCAGGGGGCCCTGTAATATAGTCCAGCTCCACCAGGGGGCCCTGTAATATAGTCCCTGTGGTGCAGCTCCACCAGGGGGGGTCCTATAATTTAATCCCTATGATGCAGCTCCACCAGGGGGCCCTATAGTATTTTAAACATGTAGATGATACTGCAACAAATGAGTATAGTCCCTGTGGTGCAGCTCCAACAGGAGACCCTCTAGCCTAGTCCCTGTGGTGCAGGGGCCCTATACTTACGCCTTGATGGACTCTGTGACGGAGCCGATCTGGTTGACCTTGAGGAGCAGGCAGTTACAGGCCTTCTTCTCTACAGCCTGCTGGATACGCTTGGGGTTGGTCACGGTCAGATCATCACCCACCACCTATAGAATAACATACAGATTATATAGGGTGAAAGTTTACACTGAGTGTACAAATCATTAGGAACACCTGCTCTTCCATGATATAGACTGACCAGGTGAATCCAGGTGAAAGCTATGATCCCTTATTGATGTCACTTGTTGAATCCACTTCAGTGTAGATGTAGGGGAGGAGACAGGTTAATTGAGACATGGACTTGTGTATGTGTGCCATTCAGAGGGTGAATGGGCAAGGTAAAATATTTAAGTGCCTTTGAACGGGGTATGGTAGTAGATGCCAGGCGCACCGGTTTGAGTCAAGAACTACAACGCTGCTGGGTTTTTCACGCTCAACAGTTTCCCTTGTGTATCAAGAATGGTCCACCATCCAAAGGACATCCAGCCAACTTGACACAACTGCAATTGCATGAAATTAGTTAAAAAATGGCAAAATCTTCTCTCCGCCCCATGGCAAAATGAGTAGATTGCCAGGAAATTAAATTTAAAACAATTATTTTTTTGTCTTCGCTGTCACGAGGGGTGCTGCTAAAATGTTTTGCTCACAAGGTGGAGGGTATGGATGTGGGCAGGCAGATAAATATAACCACCTATATATACCACCCATAGATACCAACTATAGATACCACGTATAGATACCACCTATAGATACCACCTATAGATACCACCTATAGATACCACCTATATACACCACCTATATATACCACCTATATATACCACCTATAGATACCACCTATATATACCACCTATATATACCACCTATAGATACCACCTATAGATACCACCTATAGATACCACCTATATATACCACCTATAGATATAGCAAGAGTTGGAGATAAACAAACAATGACTGGGCCCACCTGGATGTCAACCTCGGCGGTGAACTTTGACCACGCCGCCCAATCATCCTGATCGAAGGGATCCTCAATGGACTGAACTGGAAGAGGAGAGAGAAGGTGTTAGCGAGGAAGGGTGTGTGTGTGTGTGTGTGTGTGTGTGTGTGGGTGTGTGGGTGTGTGTGTGGTGTGTGTGTGTGTGTGTGGGTGTGTGTGGGTGTGTGTGTGTGTGTGTGTGTGTGTGTGTGGGTGTGTGTGTGTGTGGGTGTGTGGGTGTGTGGGTGTGTGTGTGTGTGTGTGTGTGTGGTGTGTGTGTGGGTGTGTGTGTGTGTGGGTGTGTGTGTGTGTGTGTGGTGTGTGTGTGTGTGTGTGTGTGTGGTGTGTGTGTGTGTGTGTGTGTGTGTGTGTGTGTGTGTGTGTGTGTCCCTGTGTTTCTCTACGTACCGGGATATCCCTTGATGAAGCTCTTGTACAGATCTCCCAGCTGATCGCCAGTGATGTATCTGGCAGGGTCGTCAGGTGACTTGAAGTCCAGGTCGTACTTTCCTGCCTTGTAGAACTCAGAGGCAGCCACGTCCATGCCGATGATGATCTTGTCTGGGTATCCAGCCTTCTCAATAGCTGACTTCAGGAGCTCCAGAGCTGGAGGGAGAAGAAAGGTTCAACATTTACATTTTAGTCATTTAGCAGACGCTCTTATCCAGAGCGACTTACAGGAGCAATTAGGGTTAAGTGCCTTGCTCAAGGACACATCGACAGATTTTTCACCTAGTCGGCTTGGGGATTAGAACAAGCGACCTTTCGGTTACTGGCACAACGCTCTTAACCACTAAGCTACCTGCCGCCCCAAGTATCACACACCTCTGCCAGGGGGCCCTAAGACCCTTTAGAATAGTCCCTGTGGCGCAGCTCCACAAGGGGGCCCTATAGTAATAGTCCCTGTGGTGCAGCTCCACAAGGGGGCCCTATAGTAATAGTCCATGTGGTGCAGCTCCACAAGAGGGCCCTATAGTAATAGTCCCTGTGGTGCAGCTCCACAAGGGGGCCCTATAGTAATAGTCCCTGTGGTGCAGCTCCACAAGGGGGCCCTATAGTAATAGTCCCTGTGGTGCAGCTCCACAAGGGGGCCCTATAGTAATAGTCCCTGTGGTGCAGCTCCACAAGGGGGCCCTATAGTAATAGTCCCTGTGGTGCAGCTCCACAAGGGGCCCTATCGTAATAGTCCCTGTGGTGCAGCTCCACCAGGGGGCCCTATAAGATAGTTCCTGTGATGCAGCTCTTACCCTCGTTGTTCTCCAGGATGTTTGGTGCGAAGCCACCCTCATCTCCTACGTTGGTGGCATCCTTTCCGTACTTGGCCTTGATCACGTTCTTCAGGTTGTGGTAAACCTCAGCTCCGATCCTCATGGCCTCGTGGAAGTTAGACGCTCCGATGGGCAGGATCATGAACTCCTGCATGGCCAGCTTGTTACCAGCATGGCTACCACCGTTGATCACGTTGAAGGCCTGAAGAGAGGGAGGAGAGGGGTAGAGAAGATGAGGTTAGGGCTTGTTACCAGCACGGCCTGGAGAGAGGGAGGAGAGGGGTAGAGAAGATGAGGTTAGGGCTTGTTACCAGCACGGCTACCACCGTTGATCACGTTGAAGGCCTGAAGAGAGGGCAGGCGAGCGTACACATATTCTTTAGGAAATGTATTTTCTAGTTTGATATGCTACCTGCTTTTTCCATAACATTAAAAAAGTTTCTTCAATTGTAATTTCAAAGTCATTTTTCCATATACTGTACATCAACTATAAAGGTAGTTTGTTATAAATATGAAGGTATATGTATTCACGGGACCTCACAAGGCAGGGTAGGATGATGTCCTGGTTATATTATATACAGGTAGGTATATGATGGGACAGGGGTTAAAGCTGTACTCACGGGGCAGGGTTGGATGATATCCTGGTTATATTATATATAGGTAGGTATATGATGGGACGGGGGTTAAAGGTTAAAGCTGTACTCACGGGGCAGGGCAGGATGACGTCCTGGTTATATTATATATAGGTAGGTATATGATGGGGCAGGGGTTAAAGGTTAAAGCTGTACTCACGGGGCAGGGCAGGATGACGTCCTTGTGTCCGGCCAGGTCAGCGATGTGACGGTACAGGGGCACTCCCTTCTCTGCTGCTCCTGCCTTGCAGACCGCCAGAGACACACCCAGGATGGCGTTGGCTCCAAACTTAGCTACAGGAGGGGGAGGAGGCAGGGAGGAGAGGGAGGCAGGAGGGTGGGGAGGCAGGAGGGAGGGGAGGCAGGAGGGAAGGGAGGCAGGAGGGTGGGGAGGCAGGAGGGAGGGGAGGCAGGAGGGAGGGGAGGCAGGAGGGAAGGGAGGCAGGAGGGAGGGGAGGCAGGAGGGCGGGGAGGCAGGAGGGAAGGGAGGCAGGAGGGAGGGGAGGCAGGAGGGTGGGGAGGCAGGAGGGTTGGGAGGCAGGAGGGAGGGGAGGCAGGAGGGAGGGGAGGCAGGAGGGTTGGGGGAGGCAGGAGGGAAGGGAGGGCAGGAGGGAAGGGAGGCAGGAGGGAAGGGAGGCAGGAGGGGGGGGAGGCAGGAGGGAGGGGAGGCAGGAGGGAGGGGAGGTGAAGCAGAAGGTTTAAATTGGGCTTAAGTGCTCAAACTTTCAATGTCAATAAAGACACAGGAGGAGGGACATACACTTGTTCTCAGTTCCGTCCAACTCCAGCATGAAATGGTCAATCTTCTCCTGGTCAACAACACTGAACTTCTTCTCAATCAGTTTGGCAGCGATGTCCTTGTTCACATGATCCACAGCCTTAACGGTACCTTCAGAAATATTCAAGATGATTAGATATTAAAGAGATAGAACACAACACACTATCAGATCACATCTACCACCGATCAGTCTACTCCAGGGATATTTAAACCTGACCCTCTAGTCCAGTACCTCTACCCTCTAGTCCAGTACCTCTACCCTCTAGTCCAGTACCTCTACCCTCTAGTCCAGTACCTCTACCCTCTAGTCCAGTACCTCTACCCTCTAGTCCAGTACCTCTACCCTCTAGTCCAGTACCTCTACCCTCTAGTCCAGTACCTCTACCCTCTAGTCCAGTACCTCTACCCTCTAGTCCAGTACCTCTACCCTCTAGTCCAGTACCTCTACCCTCTAGTCCAGTACCTCTACCCTCTTAGTCCAGTACCTCTATCGACCTCTAGTCCAGTACCCTCTACCCTCTAGTCCAGTACCTCTACCCCTTAGTCCAGTACCTTTACCCTCTAGTCCAGTACCTTCTACCCTCTAGTCCAGTACCTCTAGTCCAGTACCTTTACTCCAGTCTAGTCCAGTACCTCTACCCCTCTAGTCCAGTACCTCTATCCCCTATTCCTCTAGTCCAGTACCTCTACCCTCTAGTCCAGTACCTCTACCCTCTAGTCCAGTACCCTCTCTACCCTCTAGTCCAGTTACCCTATCCAGTCCTTACCCTCTAGTCCAGTACCTCTACCCTCTAGTCCAGTACCTCTACCCTCTAGTCCAGTACCTCTAGTCCAGTACCTCTACCCTCTAGTCCAGTCCTCTACCCTCTATGTCCCTAGACCTACCTCTACCCTCTAGTCCAGTACCTCTACCCTCTAGTCCAGTACCTCTACCTTGTCCAGTACCTCTACCCTCTAGTCCAGTACCTCTACCCTCTAGTCCAGTACCTCACCCTCTAGTCCAGTACCTCTACCCTCTAGTCCAGTACCTCTAGTCCGTCCTCTAGTCCAGTACCTCTACCCTCTAGTCCGTACCCTCTAGTCCAGTACCTCTACCCTCTAGTCCAGTACCTCTACGTCCAGACTCTACCTCTAGTCCAGTACCTCTACCCTCTAGTCCAGTACCTCTACCCTCTAGTCCTAGTACCTCTAGTCCAGTACCTCTAGTCCAGTTACCTCTACCCTCTAGTCCAGTACCTACCCACCCTCTAGTCCAGTACTCTACCCTCTAGTCCAGTACCTCTACCCTCTAGTCCAGTACTCTCCCTAGTCCAGTACCTCTACCCTCTAGTCCAGTACCTCTACCCTCTAGTCCAGTCTCTACCCTCTAGTCCTCCTCTAGTCCAGTACCTCTACCCTCTAGTCCAGTACCTCTACCCTCTAGTCCAGTACCTTACCCTCTAGTCCAGTACCTCTACCTCTAGTCCAGTACCTCTAACCCTCTAGTCCAGTACCCCTCTAGTCCAGTACCTCTACCCTCTAGTCCAGTACCTCTACCCTCTAGTCCAGTACCTCTAGTCCAGTCCTCTACCCTCTAGTCCAGTACCCTCTTACCCTCTAGTCCAGTACCTCTTACCCTCTAGTCCAGTACCCTCACCTCTAGTCCAGTACCTCTACCCTCTAGTCCAGTACCTCTACCCTCTAGTCCAGTTACCTCTATCATACCTCTAGTCCTCCCAGTAACCTCTACCTGAGTCCAGTACCATACTAGCAGTAGTTATGAAATTAAATCAGAAGTGGAACTGGACTTATGGTCTAGAGTTGAGTATCTCTAGTCCAGATCAACAGATCCCAGAGAGGTAGATCAGACCAGATCAACAGACCCCTGAGAGATAGATCAGATCAACAGATCCCAGAGGTAGATCAGACCAGGTCAACAGATCCCAGAGAGACATAACTCACCTTTTCCCAGGTAGCGTGACTTGTCTCCATCTCTCAGCTCCAGAGCCTCATGGACACCGGTAGAGGCACCGCTGGGCACGGCTGCCCTGAAACGGCCTGACCATACACACACAGAGAGAGGTTAGACTGCTGGGTCGGTAAACACAAAATGGTGGTATGTTTGTGTGCAAACACGTGGACTGTGAGCATGAAGGTGTGTACCTTTGGCGGTGTAGAGGTCCACCTCCACGGTGGGGTTTCCTCTGGAGTCGAGGATCTCTCTGGCATGGATCTTAGTGATAGACATCCTGACTGGAGAGGAGAGAGAGGGAGAGAGGGAGGGGAATGGAAGGAGAGAAGAGATGGGGGGGAAGGAGAGAGGAAGAGATGGGGGGAAGGAGAGAGAAGAGATGGGGGAGGAGAGAGATCTGGGGAGAAGAAGAGGAGAGATGGGGGGAGGAGGCGATGGAGAGTTGGGGGGGAGGAGCAGCAGAGAGGGAGAGATGGGGCGGTGGGGGGGAGACGAGACTGGGGGGGCGGCAGAGCGAGAGGAGTGTGGGCGGGATGAGAGTGAGAGATGGGGGGAAGGAGAGAGAAAGAGATGAGGGGAAGGAGAGAGAAAGAGAGAAAGATAGGAGGAGAAAAAATTAATCATTAACTATTATATTGACCTTCAGAGTTCATCTGTTGCTCTCAGCCAATCAGAATTCAGGTCAGAGTCTCCACTCTCCTAGCAATCTGTCCTGTAGTCGGTACGTACACCACTGCGTCTGACCTGAGTTAGCTACTCTGTGTAGGTAGCTTAGGTCAGAGTCTCCACTCTCCACGGTACGTACACCACTGCGTCTGACCTGAGTTAGCTACTCTCTGTAGGTAGCTTCACGTCTGCATCACACTGTAATCTGTCCCACTCTCCACACTGTGCTTCCTCCTACAAGCATCACACACAGCTAGCCTATGAGAGAGCAGTGAGGTCATATGGTTACGTGCAGTGTGTCAGTGTAGAGGTACTGTATACTGTGAGTGGGTGTAGTGGGTATTCAGGCTTTATAGGGTGTAGTGGGTATTCAGGCTGTATAGTGGGTATTCAGGCTGTATAGTGGGTATTCAGGCTGTATAGTGGGTATTCAGGCTGTATAGTGGGTATTCAGGCTGTATAGTGGGTATTCAGGCTGTATAGTGGGTATTCAGGCTGTATAGTGGGTATTCAGGCTGTATAGTGGTATTCAGGCTGTATAGGGGTATTCAGGCTGTATAGTGGGTATTCAGGCTGTATAGTGGGTATTCAGGCTGTATAGTGGGTATTCAGGCTGTATAGTGGGTATTCAGGCTGTATAGTGGGTATTCAGGCTGTATAGTGGGTATTCAGGCTGTTATAGGGTTATTCAGGATGTATAGTGGTATTCAGGCTGTATAGTGGGTATTCAGGCTTGTATAGTGGGTATTCAGGCTGTATAGGGGTATTCAGGCTGTATAGTGGGTATTCAGGCTGTATAGTGGGTATTCAGGCTTATAGTGGGTATTCAGGCTGTATAGTGGGTATTCGAGCTGTATAGTGGGTATTCAGGCTGTATAGTGGTTATTCAGGCTGTATATGGTTATTCAGGCTGTATAGTGGGTATTCAGGCTGTATAGTGGGTATTCAGGCTGTATAGTGGGTATTCAGGCTGTATAGTGGGTATTCAGGCTGTATAGTGGGTATTCAGGCTGTATAGTGGGTATTCAGGCTGTATAGTGGGTATTCAGGCTGTATAGTGGGTATTCAGGCTGTATAGTGGGTATTCAGGCTGTACAGTGGGTATTCAGGCTGTATAGTGGGTATTCAGGCTGTATAGTGGGTATTCTGGCTGTATAGTGGGTATTCAGGCTGTACAGTGGGTATTCAGGCTGTATAGTGGGTATTCAGGCTGTATAGTGGGTATTCAGGCTGTACAGTGGGTATTCAGGCTGTATAGTGGGTATTCTGGCTGTATAGTGGGTATTCTGGCTGTATAGTGGGTATTCAGGCTGTATAGTGGGTATTCAGGCTGTATAGTGGTTATTCAGGCTGTATAGTGGGTATTCAGGCTGTATAGTGGGTATTCAGGCTGTATAGTGGGTATTCAGGCTGTATAGTGGGTATTCAGGCTGTATAGGGGTATTCAGGCTGTATAGTGTGTATTCAGGCTGTATAGTGGTTATTCAGGCTGTATAGTGGGTATCCAGGCTGTATAGTGGGTATTCAGGCTGTATAGTGGGTATTCAGGCTGTATAGTGGGTATTCAGGCTGTATAGTGGGTATTCAGGCTGTATAGTGGGTATTCAGGCTGTATAGTGGGTATTCAGGCTTTATAGTGGGTATTCTGGCTGTATAGTGGGTATTCAGGCTGTATAGTGGGTATTCAGGCTTTATAGTGGGTATTCAGGCTGTATAGTGGGTATTCAGGCTGTATAGTGGGTATTCAGGCTGTATAGTGGGTATTCAGGCTGTATAGGGTGTATTCAGGCTGTACAGTGGGTGTAGTGTGTGTGTGGGTAGATGTATGTATGTGTGTGTGTGTATACGTGTATATATATGTGTGTGTGTGTGTGTATACACGTGTGTGTGTGTGTGTGTGTGTGTGTGTGTGTGTGTGTGTGTGTGTATACACGTGTGTGTGTGTGTGTGTGTGTGTGTGTGTATACACGTGTGTGTGTATGTGTGTGTGTGTGTATGTGTCTATAATATGGATGTGTTTTACCAGGAGTCCCCACAAGAATAGTAAACGAAGAAAGATTTGACCAACTGGGGACATTTCGTTGGTCCCCACAAGGTCAAATTCTATTTCTATGGGGTTTAGGGTTAAGGTTAGATTTTTGGGTTAAGGTTAGGGTTAAGGTTAGGGTTAAGGTTAGGGTTAGGGTTAGGGTTAGGGAAAATATGATTTTTAATGGGACTGAATTATATGTCCCCACAAGGTTAGCTGTACAAGACTGTGGTGAGTGTATACGTGTGTGTGTGTGTGTGTATGTGTGTGTATATACCTGTGTGTGTGTGTGTATACGTGCTGAGCTAAGTGTGTTGTTAGCAGTGTGTGTGAAGAGATCTAGAGCCTCGTTGACCTCTAACCTTTTAGTTTGACCTTTCTGTAGATTCACTAGAGGTTTCAATGTGACCTTTCACTAGAGGTCAGGGTTGGCCATGGCATTACTATATTACAGTACGGAACACAGTGGGTTTATTAATACACACACTCAACATTCATGACATTTGACATGACATTTCTAGCTGGTTCTTGAGTTGTCTTTTATGTCTGTCTGCCTCTCTCCCTGAGACCCTGCCTCTCTCCCTGAGACCCTGCCTCTCTCCCCGAGGCCCTGCCTCTCTCCCCGAGGCCCTGCCTCTCTCACTGAGACCCTGCCTCTCTCCCTGAGGCCCTGCCTCTCTCCCTGAGGCCCTGCCTCTCCCTGAGGCCCTGCCTCTCTCCCTGAGGCCCTGCCTCTCTCCCTGAGACCCTGCCTCTCTCCCTGAGACCCTGCCTCTCTCCCTGAGGCCCTGCCTCTCTCCCTGAGACGCTGCCTCTCTCCCTGAGGCCCTGCCTCTCTCCCTGAGACCCTGCCTCTCTCCCTGAGACCCTGCCTCTCTCCCTGAGACCCTGCCTCTCTCCCTGAGGCCCTGCTTCTCTCCCTGAGACTCCCCTTTGACTGGGAGACAACATCTTAAATCTCCTCTATCTGTACCTGATCTTTATTCATTCATTCTACATATAAACCTGTTGCACCATTTACCCTGTTGCTTTAGATTGCTAGTAGATACGCTGCACTACACTCTAAAACCAAGTGCAACCTGGACCCAAAAGGGCTTCTTTGTCCCCATAGGAGAAACTAGGGCTGTGCTTCTTTGTCCCCATAGGAGAAACTAGGGCTGTGCTTATTTGTCCCCATAGGAGAAACTAGGGCTGTGCTTCTTTGTCCCCATAGGAGAAACTAGGGCTGTGCTTCTTTGTCCCCATAGGAGAAACTAGGGCTGTGCTTCTTTGTCCCCATAGGAGAAACTAGGGCTGTGCTTCTTTGTCCCCATAGGAGAAACTAGGGCTGTGCTTCTTTGTCCCCATAGGAGAAACTAGGGCTGTGCTTCTTTGTCCCCATAGGAGAAACTAGGGCTGGGCTTCTTTGTCCCCATAGGAGAAACTAGGGCTGGGCTTCTTTGTCCCCATAGGAGAAACTAGGGCTGGGTCCGAAAAAAAAGAGATGTCTGTTCTTTCGACCAATCAATTGGTCGAAATTGTAAAAAGTTTCTTTTTCTATATATAGACACATCCTATGTGTTTTAATCAAATCAACTATATGTACTGAGCTTATCTGATGCTTTAAGCGAACTGTTTGATGAAATAATTAAGACACGCAAATGACTAAAGGGAGTCCGACCGCAATTGATTTGATTGTGCCGGGCCTGGCTCAGACTTGCTGCGCTGTGTTAAAAAAAAAGACTGTGAGTGACTGTGACTAGCACCCGTTGTCTCTCTCCTCCCAGCTGCAGCGACCACCACAGAACATCAGCCCGTTGTCTCTCTCTCCTCCCTGCTGCAGTGACCACCACAGAACATCAGCCCGTTGTCTCTCTCTCCTCCCTGCTGCAGCGACTAGCACCCGTTGTCTCTCTCTCCTCCCTGCTGCAGTGACCACCACAGAACATCAGTGTGTATCGCGCTGTCCGTGTTGCTGAATCTACAACATAATTACAGCCATTTCTGACTGAAAAGTACTGCTACCGAAATCCCTCATTTGTTTAGGGGAAAAATCCCTATTCCCTCAACCCTTGCTCTCTTTACGTGACACATGTATGCATCGCCTGCACGTGACCAATAGGGCCTGACCTGTAGCATATCATAATCACATCAATACATTGGTTATAACGAACTCTGAACACCGTAACACACGTCACAGCAAAATGGATGCAGAGGAAGTGACTAATAAAGTCTAAACGGGGGAATGTTTACTGGTTGCTCAGGAGGAAGTGACTAATAAAGTCTAAACGGGGGAATGTTTACTGGTTGCTCAGGAGGAAGTGACTAATAAAGTCTAAACGGGGGAATGTTTACTGGTTGCTCAGGAGGTAAAGGGGGAGTCGGACCAGGTCATACATTTGACTAGTTGTGGAAAATACTGAAGATCAAGAAAAATAAGTTAAGGAGCAAGCGCTGCGTGGATATTATGTGTGCCAAACAGGTGCTGTTAGATTACAATGTCATTTCTCTGACCGTTTGGAACAATGTAAACAACACTAAATACATTATAAGCGTTTTTCTGTAAAGCCTTTATTACAGCAAAGACTAAAAACAGTCGCATTCATTTGTGATGCAATTTCCAAAATAGAACGGTTTAGGCCTATTTATTGTTTGTAATTATTCAAATAGTCAAATGGTTGTTATTTTATTTTAAAACTAAAACGCTTGATTGCATTTGACTCTTATGCTGTGTGATGACATGAATGAATAAATGATTGACTGATACAGTAGCCTATAGAAGTATTGAAATATAGGCCTAAGGAAGTTACGGTATTAAGACTAAACGGAATGCGCTCTTAGGCCTACAGCTCGATGGTGGTTATACAGCCTACTAATGATAATGACATTACTTATTATTATAATGATCATAATAATAATAATAATAATAATAATAATAATAATAAGGAGATCAAGAAAAAGGAACGTTATTATTATGAATATAAATATAATTTTTATGGGGACTTTGGCCGGTACTTTACCAGGAGATTATGTAACAGTGTCCTCCTCCGATGCAATAGGTTACATCCTGCTATCTATCTCTCTTAGTTAGATATAGTGTAAGTCTAGACTATGATCAAATGCACTGCAAATGTGGAAGTGAATGAAAATCAACCCGCTACAATATTTAATTGCATGCTGGTCATAAATGTATATAAGCCTAAATCAATATTCAGGCTTTATATACAGGCTGTAATATAGCTCAGATCCATATCGTTATCTATCTGCAGAGAGTAGCAGTTAAATTCATTATTTGAGTTTATTCTAGGTCTTCATCTTTGTAGTCTACAACAGATTAACTATTAGTGTCCCCAGCCGAAGGTCATCATGTTGTCGTTCGGCTACAAACTGAAAATATAAAAAAAACTCCTTCAATCGCAGACACATGAGAACTAGATCCACTACACTACAGGTTACTAAAAGTTGCAGAGACTAAGAAAGTATCCCATGGCTTCAATCCCAAACACTAAAATGAAAGTATTCGTTGTAGGCCTTTTTATAAAGTTATCAGTCATAGAACAAAGCGAACTAAGATATAAGGCTAGTGTTCACAGTGCCAAAGCAAGAGAAACATTTAATTGACAACTACACAAGTTGGTCTTTCCTAGGCCTGTAAATGTTTCTGAAGTTTCTATGAACGTTTATGCAGAGCGAATCGAGTAACCCAGAGAACACCGTACCTGATGGGGGTTTAGGTGGCTGGCTGGCTGGCTGGCTGGCTGGCTGGCTGGCTGGCTGTCCGACTGTCCTTCTGGAAAGTGACACCCTGTCCCTCAGCGGGAGCTTTATAGACGGACGCTGGCGGTCGCCCCCATATAAGGACAAGGGTTAGGGACGGAGGGGAAATTACCAGACACACTCAGAAAGTAGAAACTGAAAGGACGGTTAGATAAGCGTCTGAGTTTGTGTTAATGTGTCGAATACTTGCGTTTTTTCTCTCCAAATTATTAATCAATATATAAGATGATTTAACGTTTTTTCTCTCCAAATGATTCATCAATATGTAAGAGGATTTGAAGAGCGTCACATAATAATTCAGATTACTTTGGAGTTTTTTTCTTCAAATTAAAACATGTAGGCTTACTGTCGATTTACAGGGGGGTCCAAGGAATACATGAATATGAACTGATCAGGGAGAGAACGGGGGGATAATACATTTCTATGGGACTCATCTCTGATACAGACCAACTCTGTCCTGTAGGCCTGAGACAATCAGACCAACTCTGTCCTGTAGGCCTGAGACAATCAGACCAACTCTGTCCTGTAGGCCTGAGACAATCAGACCAACTCTGTCCTGTAGACCTGAGACAATCAGACCAACTCTGTCCTGTAGGCCTGAGACAATCAGACCAACTCTGTCCTGTAGACCTGAGACAATCAGACCAACTCTGTCCTGTAGGCCTGAGACAATCAGACCAACTCTGTCCTGTAGGCCTGAGACAATCAGACCAACTCTGTCCTGTAGGCCTGAGACAATCAGACCAACTCTGTCCTGTAGGCCTGAGACAATCAGACCAACTCTGTCCTGTAGACCTGAGACAATCAGACCAACTCTGTCCTGTAGACCTGAGACAATCATACCAACTCTGTCCTGTAGGCCTGAGACAATCATACCAACTCTGTCCTGTAGGCCTGAGACAATCAGACCAACTCTGTCCTGTAGGCCTGAGACAATCATACCAACTCTGTCCTGTAGGCCTGAGACAATCAGACCAACTCTGTCCTGTAGGCCTGAGACAATCAGACCAACTCTGTCCTGTAGGCCTGAGACAATCAGACCAACTCTGTCCTGTAGGCCTGAGACAATCAGACCAACTCTGTCCTGGTATGTTGTCATGGATACAGCTCAGCTCTACTTTAGGCCTAGTTCTAGTTCTGCTGATACTGCTTGTTTTTGAGCGTTTTCAAGTGCAAAGTTAATAACGGTTTTGGGAATCAGCGCAGAGATTTAACAATGCTCCTCTGAAGGTTCAAACGATGAACTTAGCCTTAAGATGCTTTTGGGAAACCGGGCCCTGGTTAGTAGAATTAAGCCAATCACTGATATAGATCAATGAGCTGAGTTGGGGAGGTGATGTGGTGCTTGGTAGGAACTAAACACTGCACAAGGCCTTCCTGCAGCTCTCCAGGAGCAGGGAAACATACTATTAGGGTACAGGACCGCACACTAGTCAGGTAGAGGGGGTGATAATACAGGACCGCACACTAGTCAGGTAGAGGGGGTGATAATACAGGACCGCACACTAGTCAGGTAGAGGGGGTGATAATACAGGACCGCACACTAGTCAGGTAGAGGGGGTGATAATACAGGACCGCACACTAGTCAGGTAGAGGGGGTGATAATACAGGACCGCACACTAGTCAGGTAGAGGGGGTGATAATACAGGACCGCACACTAGTCAGGTAGAGGGGGGTGATAATACAGGACCGCACACTGGTCAGGTAGAGGGGGTGATAATACAGGACCGCACACTAGTCAGGTAGAGGGGGTGATAATACAGGACCGCACACTAGTCAGGTAGAGGGGGGTGATAATACAGGACCGCACACTAGTCAGGTAGAGGGGGTGATAATACAGGACCGCACACTAGTCAGGTAGAGGGGGTGTTAATACAGGACCGCACACTAGTCAGGTAGAGGGGGGTGGATAATACAGGACCGCACACTGGTCAGGTAGAGGGGGTGATAATACAGGACCGCACACTAGTCAGGTAGAGGGGGTGATAATACAGGACCGCACACTAGTCAGGTAGAGGGGGTTGATAATACAGGACCGCACACTAGTCAGGTAGAGGGGGTGATAATACAGGACCGCACACTAGTCAGGTAGAGGGGGTTATAATACAGGACCGCACACTGGTCAGGTAGAGGGGGTGATAATACAGGACCGCACACTGGTCAGGTAGAGGGGGTGATAATACAGGACCGCACACTGGTCAGGTAGAGGGGGTGATAATACAGGACCGCACACTGGTCAGGTAGAGGGGGTGATAATACAGGACCGCACACTAGTCAGGTAGAGGGGGTGATAATACAGGACCGCACACTAGTCAGGTAGAGGGGGTGATAATACAGGACCGCACACTAGTCAGGTAGAGGGGGTGATAATACAGGACCGCACACTAGTCAGGTAGAGGGGGTGATAATACAGGACCGCACACTAGTCAGGTAGAGGGGGTGATAATACAGGACCGCACACTAGTCAGGTAGAGGGGGGTGATAATACAGGACCGCACACTGGTCAGGTAGAGGGGGTGATAATACAGGACCGCACACTAGTCAGGTAGAGGGGGTGATAATACAGGACCGCACACTTGTCAGGTAGAGGGGGTGATAATACAGGACCGCACACTAGTCAGGTAGAGGGGGTGATAATACAGGACCGCACACTAGTCAGGTAGAGGGGGTGATAATACAGGACCGCACACTAGTCAGGTAGAGGGGGTGATAATACAGGACCGCACACTAGTCAGGTAGAGGGGGTGATAATACAGGACCGCACACTAGTCAGGTAGAGGGGGTGATAATACAGGACCGCACACTAGTCAGGTAGAGGGGGGTGATAATACAGGACCGCACACTGGTCAGGTAGAGGGGGGTGATAATACAGGACCGCACACTGGTCAGGTAGAGGGGGTGATAATACAGGACCGCCACACTGGTCAGGTAGAGGGGGTGATAATACAGGACCGCACACTGGTCAGGTAGAGGGGGTGATAATACAGGACCGCACACTAGTCAGGTAGAGGGGGGTGATAATACAGGACCGCACACTAGTCAGGTAGAGGGGGTGATAATACAGGACCGCACACTAGTCAGGTTAGAGGGGGTGATAATACAGGACCGCACACTAGTCAGGTAGAGGGGGTGATAATACAGGACCGCACACTAGTCAGGTAGAGGGGGTGATAATACAGGACCGCACACTAGTCAGGTAGAGGGGGTGATAATACAGGGACCGCACACTAGTCAGGTAGAGGGGGGGTGATAATACAGGACCGCACACTAGTCAGGTAGAGGGGGTGATAATACAGGACCGCACACTAGTCAGGTAGAGGGGGTGATAATACAGGACCGCACACTAGTCAGGTAGAGGGGGGGATAATACAGGACCGCACACTAGTCAGGTAGAGGGGGTGATAATACAGGACCGCACACTAGTCAGGTAGAGGGGGTGATAATACAGGACCGCACACTAGTCAGGTAGAGGGGGTGATATACAGGACCGCACACTAGTCAGGTAGAGGGGGGTGATAATACAGGACCGCACACTAGTCAGGTAGAGGGGGTGATAATACAGGACCGCACACTGGTCAGGTAGAGGGGGGTGATAATACAGGACCGCACACTAGTCAGGTAGAGGGGGTGATAATACAGGACCGCACACTAGTCAGGTAGAGGGGGTGATAATACAGGACCGCACACTAGTCAGGTAGAGGGGGTGATAATATAGTGCAGTGGTTCCCAAACTGTGGGTCAACAGCCACTTGTGGGTCGCAGCAGGGATCCAAGTGGGCCGCGGTAGGGATCCAAGTGGGCCGCGGACCCTAACCCCGACCCTAACCCCGACCCTAACCCCGACCCTAACCCCGACCCTAAACCCACATAGACGTAGAAAAGATAATGGACCTATATATTTTTTAATAATAGCCTAGAATCTTGGAGAATTTACAATCAACTAAATTAAAACTAGACAATCAGGCCCCCATTGATGTTGTTAGAATGTTCCAGCAGTAGAACACTGCATTAGAACACTGCATTAGAACACTGCAGTAGAACAGTGCATTAGAACAGTGCATTAGAACAGTGCATTAGAACAGTACATTAGAACAGTACAGTAGAACAGTGCATTAGAACAGTGCAGTAGAACAGTGCATTAGAACACTGCAGTAGAACAGTGCAGTAGAACAGTGCAGTAGAACACTGCATTAGAACACTGCATTAGAATAGTGCAGTAGAACAGTGCATTAGAACAGTGCAGTAGAACAGTGCATTAGAACACTGCAGTAGAACAGTGCATTAGAACAGTGCAGTAGAACAGTGCATTAGAACACTGCAGTAGAACAGTGCAGTAGAACACTGCATTAGAACACTGCATTAGAACACTGCATTAGAATAGTGCAGTAGAACAGTGCAGTAGAACAGTGCAGTAGAACAGTGCATTAGAACACTGCATTAGAACACTGCATTAGAACAGTGCAGTAGAACAGTGCAGTAGAACACTGCATTAGAACACTGCTTTAGAACACTGCATTAGAACAGTACATTAGAACAGTACAGTAGAACAGTGCAGTAGAACAGTGCAGTAGAACACTGCATTAGAACACTGCATTAGAACAGTGCAGTAGAACAGTGCAGTAGTACAGTGCATTAGAACAGTACATTAGAACAGTACAGTAGAACAGTGCATTAGAACAGTACAGTAGAACACTGCATTAGAACAGTGCAGTAGAACAGTGCAGTATAACAGTGCATTAGAACAGTGCAGTAGAACAGTGCATTAGAACAGTGCATTAGAACACTGCAGTAGAACAGTACATTAGAACAGTACAGTAGAACAGTGCAGTAGAACAGTGCAGTAGAACACTGCATTAGAACACTGCATTAGAACAGTACATTAGAACACTGCATTAGAACACTGCATTAGAACACTGCATTAGAACACTGCATTAGAACAGTGCAGTATAACAGTGCAGTATAACAGTGCATTAGAACACTGCAGTAGAACAGTACATTAGAACACTGCATTAGAACACTGCAGTAGAACAGTGCATTAGAACACTGCATTAGAACACTGCATTAGAACACTGCATTAGAACAGTGCAGTAGAACAGTACAGTAGAACAGTGCATTAGAACAGTGCAGTATAACAGTGCAGTATAACAGTGCATTAGAACACTGCAGTAGAACAGTGCAGTAGAACGCTGCATTAGAACACTGCAGTAGAACGCTGCATTAGAACACTGCATTAGAACACTGCATTAGAACACTGCATTAGAACAGTGCAGTAGAACAGTGCAGTAGAACACTGCATTAGAACACTGCATTAGAACACTGCATTAGAACAGTGCATTAGAACAGTGCAGTAGAACCGTGCAGTAGAACACTGCATTAGAACAGTGCAGTAGAACACTGCATTAGAACACTGCATTAGAACAGTGCATTAGAACAGTGCAGTAGAACAGTGCAGTAGAACACTGCATTAGAACAGTACATTAGAACACTGCATTAGAACAGTACAGTAGAACAGTGCATTAGAACAGTGCATTAGAACACTGCAGTAGAACAGTACATTAGAACACTGCAGTAGAACAGTGCAGTAGAACAGTGCATTAGAACACTGCATTAGAACACTGCATTAGAACACTGCATTAGAACAGTGCAGTAGAACAGTACAGTAGAACAGTGCATTAGAACAGTGCAGTATAACAGTGCAGTATAACAGTGCATTAGAACACTGCAGTAGAACAGTGCAGTCGAACGCTGCATTAGAACACTGCAGTAGAACGCTGCATTAGAACACTGCATTAGAACACTGCAGTAGAACAGTGCATTAGAACACTGCATTAGAACACTGCATTAGAACACTGCATTAGAACAGTGCAGTAGAACAGTGCAGTAGAACACTGCATTAGAACACTGCATTAGAACACTGCATTAGAACACTGCAGTAGAACACTGCATTAGAACACTGCATTAGAACAGTGCATTAGAACAGTGCAGTAGAACAGTGCAGTAGAACAGTGCAGTAGAACACTGCATTAAAACACTGCATTAGAACACTGCATTAGAACAGTGCATTAGAACACTGCAGTAGAACAGTGCAGTAGAACAGTGCAGTAGAACACTGCATTAAAACACTGCATTAGAACAGTGCATTAGAACACTGCAGTAGAACAGTGCAGTAGAACACTGCATTAGAACACTGCATTAGAACAGTGCATTAGAACAGTGCAGTAGAACAGTGCAGTAGAACAGTGCAGTAGAACACTGCATTAAAACACTGCATTAGAACACTGCATTAGAACAGTGCATTAGAACACTGCAGTAGAACAGTGCATTAGAACACTGCAGTAGAACAATGCATTAAAACACTGCATTAGAACAGTGCATTAGAACACTGCAGTAGAACAGTGCAGTAGAACAGTGCAGTAGAACACTGTATTAAAACACTGCATTAGAACAGTGCATTAGAACACTGCAGTAGAACAGTGCAGTAGAACAGTGCAGTAGAACACTGTATTAAAACACTGCATTAGAACAGTGCAGTAGAACACTGCAGTAGAACAGTGCAGTAGAACAGTGCAGTAGAACACTGCATTAGAACAGTGCATTAGAACACTGCAGTAGAACAGTGCATTAGAACAGTGCAGTAGAACAGTGCAGTATAACAGTGCAGTATAACAGTGCAGTATAACAGTGCAGTAGAACAGTGCAGTAGAACACTGCATTAAAACACTGCATTAGAACAGTGCATTAGAACACTGCAGTAGAACAGTGCAGTAGAACAGTACAGTAGAACACTGTATTAAAACACTGCATTAGAACAGTGCAGTAGAACACTGCAGTAGAACAGTGCAGTAGAACAGTACAGTAGAACACTGTATTAAAACACTGCATTAGAACAGTGCAGTAGAACACTGCAGTAGAACAGTGCAGTATAACAGTGCAGTAGAACAGTGCAGTAGAACAGTGCAGTAGAACAGTGCAGTAGAACACTGTATTAAAACACTGCATTAGAACAGTGCATTAGAACACTGCATTAGAACAGTGCAGTAGAACAGTGCAGTAGAACAGTGCATTAGAACAGTGCAGTAGAACACTGCATTAGAACAGTGCATTAGAACACTGCAGTAGAACAGTGCATTAGAACACTGCAGTAGAACAGTGCAGTATAACAGTGCAGTATAACAGTGCAGTAGAACAGTGCAGTAGAACACTGCATTAAAACACTGCATTAGAACACTGCATTAGAACACTGCATTAGAACAGTGCATTAGCCATGGCAATGTGTAGAAATGCAGGAGATTAGCTTTAAAACGGCAACATTTTCTGTCTGCTGCCAAGATGATATTTTTTGACTTATTCTTTGGTCTGTGTATGTTTTTTTCACCGGGTCGGGTGAACTGAACTCTCAGGCTGCCTTTAAGAGGCAGCAGGCCTACACTTTGAATCCACGCCTTAAAGCAATGTAGTTCTAGACTGAATCACTGCACTTTTCCAATAACTAGAACTACTCATTCATTAATTATCTCCTTCTCTCCTCATGTCAGACGCTCCCTAGCTCTCCAGCTAAGGTGTAAAGGTCAAGGTTCAGCTAAAGGTGAAATGTGAGCCGCTCTGGGTTCACAGCAAAAGGCCAGTGCCCCAACACACACACACTTACCCTTTGCCAGTCCCCTCAGCAGCACCCCTACCCTTTACTACTGGGTACAAAATTACCCTTAACCCTCCTACCCTCCTACTCTCCTTGTGACCAGATAGTTAGATCATTCATAGAGAGATACGTAGTTTGTTACAGACAGAGAGAGTGTGAATGGGTCCATACAGATACTTCATAGAGATACGTAGTTTGTTACAGACAGAGAGAGTGTGAATGGGTCCATACAGATACTTCATAGAGATACGTAGTTTGTTACAGACAGAGAGAGTGTGAATGGGTCCATACAGATACTTCATAGTTATACAAAGCATTTGGAAAGTATTCAGACCCCTTGACTTTTTCCACTTTGTTACGTTACAGCCTTATTATAAAATGGATTAAATGAATATTTTTCCTCATCAATCTACACACAATACCCCATAATGACAAAGTGAAAACAGGTTTTTAGAAATGTTTGCAAATGTATTAAATATAAAAAACAGAAACACCTTATTTACATAAGTATTCAGACCCTTTACTATGAGACTCACAATTGATCTCAGGTGCATCCTGTTTCCATTGATCATCCTTGAGATGTTTCTACAACTTGATTGGAGTCCACCTGTGGTAAATTCAATTGATTGGACATGATTTGGAAAGGCACACCTGTCTATATAAGGTCCCACAGTTGACAGTGCATTTCAGAGCAAAAACCAAGCCATGAGGTCGAAGGAATTGTCCGAAGATCTCAGAGACAGGATTGTGTAGAGGCACAGATCTGGGGAAGGGTACCAAAAAATGTCTGCAGCATTGAAGGTCCCCAAGAACACAGTGGCCTCCATCATTCTTAAATGGAAGAAGTTTGGAACCACCAAGACTCTTCCTAGAGCTGGTCGCCCGGTCGAACTGATCAATCGGGGCAGAAGGGCCTTGGTCAGGGAGGTGACCAATTAGCCGATGGTTGCTCTGACTGAGCTCCAGAGTTCCTCTGTGGAGATGGGAGAACCTTCCAGAAGGACAACCATCTCTGCAGCACTCCACCAATCAGGCCTTTATGGTAGAGTGGCCAGACGGAGGCCACTCCTCAGTAAAAGGCACATGACCACCTGCTTGGAGTTTCCCAAAAGGCACCTAAAGACTCTCAGACCATGAGAAACAAGATTCTCTGGTCTGATGAAACCAAGATTGAACTCTTTGGCCTGAATGCCAAGCGTCACGTCTGGAGGAAACCTGGCACCAGCCCTACGGTGAAGCATGGTGGTGGCAGCATCATGCTGTGGGGATGTTTTTCAGCTGCACGGATTGGGAGACTAGTCAGGATCAAGGGAAAGCTGAACGGAGTAAAGTACAGAGAGATCCTTGATGAAAACCTGCTCCAGAGCGCTCAGGACCTCAGACTGGGGTGAAGGTTCACCTTCCAACAGGACAATAACCCTAAGCACACAGCCAAGACAACGCAGGAGTGGCTTCGGGACAAGCCTCTGAATGTCATTGAGTGGCCCAGCCAGAGCCCGGACTTGAACCCGATCTAACATCTCTGGAGAGACCTGAAAATAGCTGTGCAGAGCTTGAGAGGATCTGCAGAGAAGAATGGGAGGAACTCTCCAAATACAGGTGTGCCAAGCTTGTAGCGTCATACCCAAGAAGACTCGAGGCTGTAATCGCTGCCAAAGGTGCTTCAACAAAGTATTGAGTAAAGGGTCTGTATACTTATGTAAATGTGATATTTCCTTCTTTTTTTAAAAAATACATTTGCAAAAATTTCTAAAAACCTGTTTTTGCTTTGTCATTATGGGGTATTGCGTGTAGATTGATGAGGGAAAAAAACAATTTAATCCATTTTAGAATAAGGCTGTAACGTAACAAAATGTGGGAAAAGTCAAGGGGTCTGAATACTTTCCGAAATGCAATGTACATAGTTAACATTTAACATTTAAGTCATTTAGCAGACGCTCTTATCCAGAGCGACTTACAGGAGCAATTAGGGTTAAGTGCCTTGCTCAAGGGCACATTTACGTCATTTAGCAGACGCTCTAGTCCAGAGCGACTCACAAATTGATGCATTCACCCTATAGCCAGTGGGATAACCACTTTACAATTTTTTGGGGGGGGGGGGGGGTAGAAGGATTACCTTTATCCTATCCCAGGTATCCTTAAAGAGTGGGGTTTTCAAATGTCTCCGGAGGTGGTGGAGCGACTCCGCTGTGTGTTGTGTTGTGGGGGGGGGGAG